TTGCCAATGGATCATTGGACAGTTGTCTAATTGAAGCACCTAAGTTTACACGGTTGTGAACTCAAATAAAACCAGTTAATATTTCATAATAATTATTATTCCATTTACTTAAAACATTACACAATAAATAAACAAGCACTATGAAACAAAACAACAGAGGAATGTCTCCAAAAACCATGAACAAAGACGATAAATAAAGATGTTAACATATAAAATAGTAACAAGACAAGCTTCTTTAGGCTATAGTGGCCGTTTATCATTTAGCGAGCCAGCCATAATAAATTATTTAAATATTGGAAGTCATATAATTCAATAAATATGGTCTCGGCACGCTATGATGGCCGTTTTGACACATTGCAATAATGACGACAAAAGTCAAATTGTTATCGATAAAAAAATAATATAATCAAACACAAGTCGCATCGGGATATATATATTTTTTTTAGTTTTAACCAATATTGCAAGAAGTTACTGATTATAAAGATTGATTGTAACGAAAACATAAATTTTTACTCACACTCAGAGATCAGTAAAGCACATATTAATTTCAAGTTTTTACATTTTAAATTTCGAAAAACAAAAATTTCAAGTTATGTGTAGAATAAGTACACTATAATTGAATCAGGTATTATTAGTATGATATATTTCTTTGTTATGATAATGACAATAACAAAATCAATTAATTTACGTAAACCTTTAAACACCTTTTGTCGGTAATTTTAAGTGTTTTTTTTAACTATATTTTTCTAAGCTCCAAAAAGTTTTCGGAATCTTAATTTAACAATATAACATATATTTATAAAATTTTAATTCTAAGCCCTAAAATAACCGATTCGATAAATTTTGTGACTTAATGCGCGTCTCGAATGACAAAATAGAACTAATTTCGAATTTCAAATATGAAACTTCATGGACGCACAAACGTCAAAACGGACATCATAGCGTGCCGCTACTATAGTAGAAATTTTATTCCTATGACGATATTTATAATAACATGAAGATCTTATTTTATAATGTCTAAACAGAAAACGGTTAACATTAAATTAACCAATAAATCCACAGATTATAAAATATAATATTTGAATCAATACAGGTGGAATGCTGTGATTCCATCACATGACTTTATTTCATTAGTATTATAATCACACCAATTTAAAGTAAAATTCCTGTTATTTTTAGTATAATAATATTTTATAGTTATAATTATAAACAAAGTTAAAGCATTTTCAATGTCAAATTCCTTTTTAAACATAAAACTGTACTTGTACCCTTAGTACAAGTTAGAGCTCACGAAAACTATCATAGTTTTCGTAATAGGGGTGACGACGGGATAAAGTAAATGAATTTCTATTTAGTCCGTCAGTTAGATGATCAAAAAATAATGGACACGTATTTTTTCTTTGGGCAATCAACCCAAAAAATGCCAAAGAAAAAGCGCGTCAAAGTTTAGGAGTAGTGGCTTGTGACGTCACTTTTAAGTGAAAATTGGACCAAAACGTGACGTCATGCGACATTTCAAATTAGTTTATCTCTGTAATGTTTTGATTATGTGAATGAAGAAAAAATATGAGTCCAATACTTTTTGATAATCTACCTGATAGACGAAGAGAAAAAATTTAGTCGCCATCCCTATTGTAAATTATGTTTCTATGTCCATATTGGTGAAAAGCAACAAAAAATACTTAAAATTTAAGAAGACGCAAATGATTTAATGGTAGAATTTAAACACTGTTCATTTGTATTGAAACGAAAACAACAAAATCAGTACCCTTATTACGAGTGCGACCTCACGAAAACTATCATAGTTTTCGTAATTGTAAAACTTAGGATACTGACTTGAATAGTAGATATTAAACATACAAATGGAATCATTTCAGGGAAGACAAAAACAGCTTTGATAATATCGATATCGATAGGATATCGATTCCTTATTTATTATTTTTGCCTTTTGAATAAGATTCAAATAGCATTAACATTTTTAACGACTTATTTTAAAGTTCAAATTGACAAACCTACTAAGTAAATGTGTTTTTATTTAAGTAAGTAACAAGCAGTGTATTTTCAAGGTTATAAAATACTGATTGCTGAGCCCAGTTGAAAAGTACCTCCCGAGTCCTATTTGAAAACGCCATCTGTTGAAGAACGCAGTAAACTACAAAAAAAAACTTTACTTCAAATCTGTCATCCTCAAGCTAAAACGCGGCTAAATGAAAAACCCAGTTTTGAGATATGGCCAAAAACGAACGCGTAAACTTTAAATTATTGCTATTTTGTAACCATTCATCACATGACGGATTTTTAGACTTAAATTATAAAAGATACGAATACTTGTTAAAGACAGATAGATTGAGAATTGAAAACTGTATAAGATGCAATTTAAGACTGAAAAATCAACCATATGTCACTTAGCCGCACTTTAGTTTGAGAACGACAGAAATGTCGTTCACAAACTTTCACTTCTACAGTTACGAGTTCAATAAACGGGGTCAAAACATGGAGTAACTAATCCAAGCGTAATCTTCGTTTATTAAAAAGGGGATTCAAGTATTGAAGGTGTGCCGAGTGTAAATAGAGACGAAGCAATGACAGTAGATACTCTCGTACAATTAATGTAGCCAATAAATGTCGCCTTTAAAGCTACTGAGTAAATCCCTTCTGACAATGTCAAAACTTATCTAACGTGACCGAAGAAAATCATTAGGCGAGTTCATTTCGCGAATATGCAATAATTAACATCTATATACAAATAAATAAAGCCTCTAATTTGAATAATTTAATTAAATATGAAAATGTAGAATAATAGAAGACGCGACTTTTAATCTCATTTCTTGCACTCAGTAATAAATAAAATAGTCTTAAAATTATCACATTTTAATAATGGCGATCTAAACTCTAGAATAAATTATTTATAATTATTAGTACACAGCACGCTCTCAAACTAATGCGTCCCGGAGACGATCAAGTCGACTTGTCAAGTCTACATGATTAAAGCGAATATTGATCCTTTACCACGTTGACTTGACGCTGTAGACTTATATTAAAACAAAATGGGAAAATACGGTACGCTCATACTAGCATCATATAATATATGATCCGACTCAACTGCATGAGCAACTCTCACACGCACACGTCTGTATATAAACATTCAATCGAGAGAGCGAGACAGAACTGTACGCTTCAACGCAGCGCGAGCGAAACGGTGAATCCGCTTCTGAGTCCGTACGGCTGAGCTGTATTGTTGTCCTTTTCTTGATTACAAAATGGCGATTACGTAAATAAAATTCACTACAAACCGTGATTTTGAGAAAAAAATGTTTTCACCAATTATTTTCTTAATATCAAAGCATCGAAGGTATTGTTTTATCTTTATAACACAGAATATACGCAATATTGTTATTTTGTGTGCACATGCAGCGTGTTTGAATGTCCAATTTTGACTAAAGCGAATTATAGTCATGCACCACAATTTAAAAGGATCACTTTTGAGCCGCGAGTGCCGTATCTTCCCTTTTTTGTTTTAATGTAAGGCTGTAGATGATCAATATTCAATTTCAATTATAAAGACATGACAAGTCGACTTGATCGTCTCCGCGGCGCATAAGAAAGCAACCGGATTAATAATAAATTTTCGACGTGCCTACAATATTAATCTAATTCTAAAATAATGCACTAAATAATTTGTAGGTAATAGTTCCCTACGCAACCACTAGATGGCGGTGCTTCTACCTGACGCCATATTGAATTAAATTGTAAGGTATTTTTGTAGCAACCTAGTTTTAACACACGCATTTTTTGTTCGTCACTTACAGCTAAATAATTACACAGATCTAGTATGTACCAATGTTACCAAAATCCCTCTGTCTGCAGCCATTTAATGTAAGTTACTCCTTAAGCTAATTATAATACTAGAACATCTAAAATAATCAATTAATATAGCGTTAAAGAAGACCGTTTACTTTTGGAGCAATTCAAAATACATGTTAGCATAGTATTTTTCTTATAATCTTAACATTAATTTATCTATAACTATAAAACGTCGTTCTTAATATTTGTTTTAACCTTCTGGTAGCTTTCACCTTTTATAAAATATAACTGGATCCTCACAATTGTTATTTTAAAGTATTGTTTTATTAGGATAGCCTCATAGGGTAGGTTAGAGCAAACAAACTCCAAAAATATACTTTTTGATATCGCATGTCTATAACGTCGTCATTTATAATCAGAGACGCAATATTGCTTGTATGCCACCTTTCGTACAAAAAATAAAAAGAATCGAATAGGTACAGTGATAAAAAAAAATCTTTCTTTGTACTTAATTGACAGTCTATTTTACATGTCAAAAATATCAATGGTAACGTACAACTATTAAAAATGTACCTTTCGTAATATAAAAAGAACCTTGTAAGCTTAAACATACGTAGAAATTAAAGTAAAAAGTCAATCTGTAAATCCAAATTTAGTCAAAGTCAATTGAATGAATTTATTGTAAAAAAATCTTGATCCCTCGATAGTTTTGTTGTGGTAAAAAATATTGATGAATGATTGGTCTCGCTTTGTGGTCGAGCAAACCAATCATTCATCTATGTGGTAATTGTATTTTTTACTTAAATTTTCATTTTAAAATGTAGGTACATTCATTTTTCTTGTAATCTCCAAGCGGTATCATTTTCAATTTCGTTCCATCGAAATCGTTTCCATGCCAAAAAAAAAACATTAAAATCTTACGAATCACGAAAGACGTAGAGTTTATTGAACAACTACTATAATTATGACAACTCGTCATATAAAATAAAATTGACAAGTCCAATTTCTTAACAACGAGACCAATTAAGATTATTCGATATTTCTCCATTTCCTTAGTGTCGCCGCACACGGGCCACCGACCACAACCACAAAACGCTGCCACCGGCATATTTCTTGTAGTTTTCATACATTTTATATGGACTCGCCACACACTGTACGCCGGTGGACGCCACAAATCGTCGTTGCTCGCTTCTTGTGGTACAAAACGCCGCCACACGTCACTCGCACGATTCCCCACCCCTCTCTCCCTTACCTTAGTCGGCCGCTGTCGCGCGCTTCAGCCACTTTTGTATCCGCTTCCAGGTTCTCGTGGCGGCGTTTGTGGCTGTGGCGTGTGGCCCGTGTGCGGCGACACTTATGTTCATTAAAAAGAAATTATATTTGTCCTAATTTAAATTTTTGTTTACTCAGATGTCGTCAAAGTATTCAAGACGAGTCAAATCGCAAATGCGCATACTACTAGCATAAAATAGTTATTACAGAAGTTAGCCTCATGTATGTACTTCTGTCTTGTGCCTAACGTAACAATGGTCCTTCGAGCAGGATATAAGGTTACGTGACGCGTACTCATGAAGTATTCAGTTCAAGTTATTTTCGTATCGCACTTCAATCAAGGTAACGGTACTTGGCTACAGACGGTGGGGATCGAGATGGGTGACCCTCATTGTGCCTTGAGCTTGTGTTGGGGCGCGTCGCTTGCGAAAACGAACGACCACTCCGGCTTCTTCTGCGCGAACGAGATGAACTCGTCTGGAAGAGAGAGTTTTATTATAGAAATACATATTACGTTATTGACGTACCACAGACCCCTATCCATAATCACACTAATATTATAAAGGCGAAAGTTTGTGAGTGTGTATGTTTGTTACTTCTTCGCATCTAAACGGCTGGAGCAATTTAAATAAAATTTGGTATGGAGTTAGCTGACACCCTGGATTAACATAGGCTACGTCTTATTATCGGAAAATATACCTAATAAATGGCGGGTAACACTGCAGGGCACAGCTAGTAATATTATAAAGGCGAAAGTTTGTGAGTGTGTAAGTTTGTTACTTCTTCACGTCTAAACGGCTGACGCGATTTTAATAAAATTTGGTATTTGAGTTAGCTGACATCCTGGATTAACACATAGGCTTTTTTTAGTTAGAAATACTAGAGAAAATTCGACACGCCATCAGGGCCGCGGTAGCTCAGTGCATTCGCCCGGATAGCGGAGGGTGCTGGTTCGAGTCCCGAATTTTATGTACTAATGTTTTCATTAGATTTAAATATTATGCTTGTTTGTCACCCATGTTAGTTATTACATGGAAAAATCTAATTATATCAATGCAAAGCATAACAAAGATAAACAATTCTGCTGTCGACGACCTCTTTGGCCGAGTGGTATGTACGCCAGGTTTCATGGTGTCGCCGACTCGAGAGGTGCCGGGTTCGAATTCCGGTGGGGGCAGATGTTTGTGTGATGAATACGAGCATTTGTACTCCAGTCATGGATGTTTAATATGTATTTCTATATAAATATACTTATATATGTACAATTTATGTATTCTACCCGTTACCCTAGCATCCCATAACACAAGCCTTACAGTGCTTACTTTGGGGCTAGGCTAATTGATGTGAGTGTTGGATTTATTTATTTTTATTATTTATTAATTATTCGGTGGTCTTACCGTATGTGATATATCCCTTCTCGTCTAAGTCGACCTGTCGGAACGTGTGTCTGGCGTCTTCAGGCGTCAGTCCCAGACACTTGGTGGACATCTCCTCGAAGTTTGGTGCCTTCATTCGACCTGTCTGACTGCTGTCATATAGCTGTCGTAAAACAACATTTTAGTTCACTCAATTATCCACCTCTTTTTAAAGGATCCCAGGTTGTAAGAGGGAAGGAACACGTGAACGGGCAGAGCATTCCATTTCCGGATAGTGCGACAAAGAAATGAGTCACCATACTTCTTTGTAGGCGTTGGAATAGTAGGCCAGCGCGCGTGGTCCTCTGAAGGAAAGGGGAAGATGGAATGAGAGAGAATAACTCCTCAGAACACTCGCCGTGGTACAGATGATAGAACGCGCTTAGTGACGCCTCGTCACGGCGTAATTAAAGAGGATTGACCTGTTTAGTCACCTCCTCATCGCCTATGATGCGGATCGCGCGCCGCTGTAACCTAGTTATAATTATTCTGTATAATTTATAGAATGCCTGGAGAGTCTAGGTAATGATATTCATTAACATTATTTTACAATTTATACTTTAAATAAAACTAGTTTTTACGGGTTAATGCACGAAACTTTATTTATTTATTGACGTTTCGCAGCCTTTTCAGGTCTGCATCGTCAGAATAATTATTTTTTATTTAAAATTGTCGAGCTACCTTCGAAAGACTTATATTGAGCGTTCGGTTATTTCAATGGAAGATTTTTAAAATTTTATTGTCTATGTATGAATTTATTATTTAATTTACTTAATAAAGTATTTTATTTAAAATGTTTGTTTGTAATTTTGAGTTTATTTATTTGACCCTAACTACCGTAAACTACCACCGGTTCCAAAATATATAATATATAAGATAAAATCCCAACCCCGAGCACACACTGCAAGACCATCAGATACTATTAGTTCTTTTTGTTTGCATAATTTAACATAAGAAGGAGATAGAAAGCCTCTCTTGAGTTTGTTTCGCCGGTTCTTCTCAGGAAGGTCTCCCAATTTTGGAACCGGTGGTAGTTTACGGTAGTTAGGGTCAAATAAATAAACTCAAAATTACAAACAAACATTTTAAATAAAATACTTTATTAAGTAAGTATCTGAATAGGTTGTGACAAAAAATATTGGACGATTCAAAAGAACTCTCAAATACTTTTGACTTGTAATAACTATATCAATTAGATTAAATAATCTACATGGAACCTACAACAGAGCTGGTGCGGCTTGCGAAGCGGCTGAAAAAGCTAAGGCACGCAAATACAGGGGTCTAGGCTGCGAATATGATTTTGTCCCATTCGGTGTCGAGACCCTTGGTCCGTGGGGTCCTAGCGCTGTAAGGATTTTTTTTCACAGGAGACCGAAGAGCTGACAGCTACCACGGACAAAGAATTAGTCTAGCTATTCCAAGAGGGAACGCTGCCAGTATCTTTGGAACCTTGCCTAAAGGGACTCCTTTTAATAATGTATTTTATTTATTATACAGAGTGTTACAAAAATACAAATAAAGCTTGAAGGGCGTTGAAGTACATCATATAAGGAGTCTTCTCTAATTTTTTTAAAATAATTGCATGAAGTTTTAAATTTCATAAAAATATCGATATTTTTAAGACACGTCACTAGTTCGAGGATCATTAAAAATAACTGTTTTTATTAAAAGTTAAAACTCCATGCAAATATTTTAAGAAAATTAGAGAAGACTCCTTAATATGATGTACTTCAACGCTCTTCAAATTTATTTGTATTTTTGTAACATCCTGTATATTTTAAGGTTTTTAGTTATAAATATCTTACTATTTGTTCTTTAGATAAAACTCCTTAACCTTAGAAATATTAATATATTAGATTAAGATCGCATAAATTGTGAAGGCCTTTAACTTATATGCTATTTTCGTCGAGCTCACCTTGAAGGCCAATGATATGAGCTGCGTGTACGGCGCATGTTGTAGCGACAAGAACGAAGCCGTCAGCAAGTAGTCTGGGAAGTAAATCAACCCGCTTGATCGCTGCAATCAAACAATTTATTTTTTATTCCAATTCACTAGAAAACCCGAATGTGATGGTGGAAGATTCTAATTCTCCCCAGATTGGGAATCACTTCTCACATTATTTCCCATTAAAGAGGAAAAAATTGTATTATAAATACCGTCTTAAATCCGCCCTTCTATACCTACAACAGACAGATACCTAATCATATTTAATTGTGTAGAAATAAACATTTTATAGCACATAATGCAAACTCTTTGGGACACGCACTCTCGGGATTAGATACCCCTTGTTTAGTATTTGACATACTAAATCTTTTGTCTTATTCTTGCATCACCTCTCTCGCTCTCTTCCGGCTCTGTCTGTGAACCGCGACAAATGATCTCGCACATTATTATTGATTAAATTAGAATCAGGGCTTGTAACCGGTTTCTATACCGGTAAATACAGGTTAATACCGGTTTCTAGTAAAGGTTTCGTTCGGAGCGCGTCCGAAATGAAAGCGGTACCTAAAACTAATCAAGTCACAACTTGTTAATGCTCAGAGATTGATGCATTTATTGACACGGTTGCCAGCGTCTAGTGAGTCAAGTTATTCATTTTGTAGTTGTGTACTGACACACTACTTCACTCACTCGCTCTGTACTTGGAAAGAAACTGACATAAAATCATTATAAATTAGAATTGAAACGAAGGCGATGCCGTCAGTAAGAGCGAAATGAAACCCTTTAAAAACCGCTAAATTGATTCAAAACCTATTCGATATCGCTTTTTAGGAAAACCGGTTTTTTTAAGGTCAAGGTAGAGCCAAACCTAAATAAAACGCTCCTAATGTACTTGATACTGATTTAGGTTTGAAAATTAACCGGTAATCAAGCCCTGATTAGAATATCTTAAAATTAGCGTACAAAAACGTGTGCATCATAATTGTTAACAGTTACTACAACAAATATAGTGATTCTGGTGAGAAACGTGGTTTAATTTAGCTATACCAAAGACCCCTGATCAACTCGCAATCATTGATGTGGGCTGCGGACAATTTTGAGTCCCGGGTTTTCGCCCTCTCGATACGCATTTTGAAGATCTCGATCCTCAAAATGCGTGTCCTTAGATCGGTGCAGCTGTATTGTCTAGTTTTTATTTGGTAGGTCTGGTTGGGCCTGGTCATTACGCCGAGCCCTGAACTGGATGAAATGAGCGGGAAGAAGTCCTCCCATATCCTCGTTTCAAAACCCGGTGACGAAGAAGACGTCACCATTTTCCAAACCAAATGAACCGGACAAATCGTTGCAAAACCCGGTGACGAAGAAGACGTCACCATTTTCCAAACCAAATGAACCGGACAAATCGTTGCAAAACCCGGTGACGAAGAAGACGTCACCCTTTTTCAAACCAAATGAACCGGACAAATCGTTGCAAAACCCGGTGACGAAGAAGATGTCACCCTTTTTCAAACCAAATGAACCGGACAAAAGCGAGTCGGGCTCGCCCATCGAGGGCTCCATACAAAACTTTTAGGTACGCAACATAAACGGCGTATCTTTATTTTGCATTAACTCAGGAGTTAGTTTTTTTACAGCTTCAAAGGACTGCAGACTTGAGTACTTATATGGGTGTAAGTTTCAACTCGTTACTTCCACATGCTCCTGAGATAAGGGGTCTTGACAGATAGACAAAAACCCGATAGTGGCGAAAAAAGAGATTTTTTACATTAAGTTATAAGTTCAGACGGACAACAAAGTGATCTTTTTGTCTTTTGAGATGCGAATCCCTAAAAATAGGTTACTTAGGTTACCTGTATAAACAGGTCGGCGATTCTGGCCGCTCTTATAACGTGGCTCACTCCCAGCAACGTAAACGACGTATCATTTTTTTACATTAACTCAGGAGTTAGTGTTTTTACAGCTTCAAAGGACTGCAGACTTGAGTACTTATATGGTGTGAATTTCAACTCCTTACTTCCACATGCTCCTGAGATAAGGGGTCTTGACAGATAGACAGAAAACCGGCAGTATATCTTTTTTTGCATTAAGTTAGAAGTTTAGACGGACAACAAAGTGATCTTATAAGGGTTCTTTTTTATCTTTTGAGATGCGAAACCCTAAAAATAGGTAATTTAGGTTACCTGTATAAACAGGTCGGCGATTCTGGCCGCTCTTATAACGTGGCTCACTCCCAGCAACGTAAACGACGTATCATTTTTTTACATTAACTCAGGAGTTACTGTTTTTACAGCTTCAAAGGACTGCAGACTTGAGTACTTATATGGTGTGAATTTCAACTCGTTACTTCCACATGCTCCTGAGATAAGGGGTCTTGACAGATAGACAAAAACCCGGTAGTGGCGAAAAAAGAGATTTTTTACATTAAGTTATAAGTTCAGACGGACTACAAAGTGATCTTTTTGTCTTTTGAGATGCAAAACCCTAAAAATAGGTAACTTAGGTTACCTGTATAAACAGGTCGGCGATTCTGGCCGCTCTTATATCGTGGCTCACTCCCAGCCGCTGCACTAACTGCTCACTGGTCAGCCAACGACTGTTGCCTTTGACCCCACTGGCGGCTAAATGTAGCTCTAACTGCGACCGCTCCAACCTGTAATAAATACAAAATTATATTAAGTTCTTTTTATATTTACATTGATTTAAATTTATTTGAAAAGAGGTACACAGACAGATTACAGTCGATACATAATACTTATTTTATAGCTTATATTACCTATATATTACATTTAACACGACAGAAAAGAAAAATTAAATTTATTGCTAAATAGCTAAAATAAACATAGAAATATTTAAATTACAATAGCTTAAAACTCCTTATTGTCAAAAAAAATTTTTTATACAAAAAATAAAACCGACTTCAAAATCGCAAATGGAAATAAAAAGTAAATACTAATATCTGGTTCATGATTCTGGAAGTCGGGCGGGTCAAGAGTGAAAGACGTATTATTACCGATCAGAAACTAAAATCTATTTAATATTTCAATCTTGACCCGCCCGACTTCTAAATCATGAACCAGATATTATTTTTTACTTTTTAGTTCCAATTTCGATTTTGAAGACGGTTTTATTTCTTGTTTAAAAAATTTTTATCTCATCCATTTTAGTGAAACTTAAATCTTCCAAGTAAACAGTAACACAATTAACGGAGAAATCGGTGAACATGCATAAAAAAATATACAGTCGAACACAGAACCTCCTCCTTTTTTGAAGTCGGTTAAAAATCATGGTGCGTGCCTTTGAAATTTGAAGGTTTCCCTCGATTTCCCCGGATTCCACCGTCAGTCTTGACTTGGTTCCAATGAGACTACGTCGGAAGTGCACTCTTTCGAATAAAAAAAGAATCTTGGAAATCGATCCACAATTGACGGAGAAATCGATGAACATACCTAAATATATATAGATATATATATATGAAAACAGAACAACACAAAACAGGAGGAGGTTTTATGTTCGACAGTATATATACTGTCAAACATAAAACCTCCTCCTGTTTTGAAGTCGGTTAAAAACATAAAATCAGGACTTATAACATACAATTTACAAAATGAAAAATATATCACCCCCAGCGCCACCGTCAGGATTGGTGCCCAATAGGCTGGCAGCATTTTGGATAGCAAGGCTAATCCCTTAACCAAGGTAGCTGCCAGCTTTTTGATCACCAGTCACGTCGGTGAGTCTCTTACACAGGGCCGGATCTTCCATATGGCTTATTGGGCTTCTGCCTAGGGCCCCGTGGATTCAAGGGCCCCTCAGCTATGTCAAGTTTAGTCAAATATAGACGATAATGCAAAAGAATCCATAATTTTATTAAATTAAAAAGATCGTATAGTTTGCAGCTATGCGAATCCTGCGATTAATAAAACCCATTCAATTTATTAAATTCGAGTCTACTTTCAGGTGTTGGTATTTCGTAATGGCAGTTAAAATATTCCGCTGCCATTACACATTCATCTCAATCGTGCTGTTTCCCTCCCAAACTCTGTCTCTTTCTATCTTGCTAGAATTATTTATAAGTACCATTATTTATCATTTTTAATTATTTATAACTAGTAGGATAGAAAGAAATAGAGTTTTGTTTTGAAGGAATGTAGCGAATCGTGATTCCAATTGAATGTGTAATGGCCGCCTACGGGTTGGCAACCCTGAACTCCCGGTATAAATTTATATCAAACGAAAGCGCCCGTGCAGTTATATACGGTTATTATCGCGATGAAGTCAGGTCCACAGCGAGATTCTTGGTACACCGGGACCTGAGAAGATTAGGATGACAGATTTGCTTCTAGAGGGAGATGGGTTGATTAGAATTATAGGCCGCCATGGCTCACGCACAACGGAACGTGGAAAGTGACTTCATAAGTTATCACAAATTGAAGTAATTTTTCAATGTGACGACTCTGTACATAATACAGGGAGAAAAAAACAGCCCTTGCTGAGTTTCTTGACGGTTCTTCTCAGTACAAGGTCTCCCGCCGTAAATTTGCGAACCGATGGCGTAGCTTTTCGATATTCACAAGTGCTTGTAACAGCCTAGACTGAATAAACGATATTGAATAGGGTATTTGACAAGTTTTAGAAAACGATCTCACGTTATTTACTAATGTATATAGAGTCAATAAATCGTGAATATTCATCATTATGTTGTGTATTTCAGTAAAAAAACTAAATCAAAAACTCTATTTTCAAGTTGCCGCGAAAAACGTATCTCTGGACAATATGGCGTCTCACTGGTGTGTGACGTCACACGACTGTCATTAAAACGTCAAACCATACAATCTTATGTCACTTTAACCGGAAGTTTACTTGCGTGTGACGTCATTTTAGGCTCCACCAATCCCGTTTTGGGTCACGTGACAATAGACAAGAAAACTATTATCTTTATCGTGGGTTTTTAGTAAAACTATGAATATTATTTCTGTAAAAATAGTAAAAACTCCTGCCAATATTAATTCTAAATACAGATGCTAACAATTGGCACTTTATTTTTATTACTGTCAAATACCCTATTTTGTTTTTTTTTTATCGGTACATTTTAACAACTAAGTGCTGAACATGGTGATCATTTGCGTGGAGACGTACCCGAGTTGTCCCCTCAACTCGCTGATCTCCCGGGCGGCGGCGGCATTGGGAATTCCCAGCTGCTTGGCCCTCGCGATCAGGCGACAATCGTCATAAGTGTAGTCCAATACTGGCACTCCAAGCGCTCTGGAAAGACATGGATATTTTTAATAAAACAGTATAAAACTCAGTTAACAGAAGAAAAGGCAGATGAAGCGCATGGAACTCGCAATGCGTGGCATTAAAGCAAATAGGAAATCAAAAGTACAGACTTTTTTTGTCATTGTGAACAGTTTATAAAATGTTTGACCAAGGTGGCACAGTTTTAATAAAAAACGAGTGTGCTTATGACCACACGACTGAAGTGAAACTTCTGTAGCTCCATCTGTATGTATGTATATATGTCAGATATAACATATACATGTATGTACGTAAACATATTTCATTTACTAGATATAAGAGAAAGAGAGAAGGAAAATGTGCGCGCGCACTGCTTTCTCTTGCTTATATCCCCCACTCAACTCCCGTTCGCCTCGCCCGAACACACTTCGTAACGAGTCAACGGTCATGACTTTTGGTCGCGCCCAAATCGTCAGTCTTTTGAATATAAACTACTAGAAGGTTTATGTAACGTTTCTAAGAACGGAAAAAATATTGATCTGCCGCGGTTTGCATGATATGGGGTTGGCCGTACGAAGGGGTAGAATATAGGAAAAAATAACCGAGCGCGTCAGACATTGAGAAGGGATGTTACGTGAACCCTCCAGTAGCTCCTATTCAAAAGACTGACGATTTGGACCCGACCAAAAGTCATGGCCGTTTGTTGAAATTTTGTTTTTGCTGCCCTAGACGTTTGGCCCTATATAGAGGACTCAGATATGGTGGGAGGAATTAACTAGGTGCAAGATTGCTCCCATTATGTTATTCTGCCGCGCTCGAGTAAATCCAAAAATCCCCGCTTGGGCTCCCTTACTATAAAGAAGTTTCACTTCAAAAACTTAATATTCATGGGACGTATTCCATATCACGATGCTGTGTAGTGTACTGATGCGCATTGATATTCGCTTTTGACTTCGTATTTGATGTGGTGCCACACATTGCGTGTTCTGTGCTCTACATCTGCCTTTTGTGCAGTAATCAAAGTGCAAAAATTTTAAATCTTCGCCGAAATAAATTAAGCTGACTTTTAATGATGTGATAGACTATAAAGTACAAAGTCAATGCCCGCAATATCATTTGTCTTAAATAATTGTTTAGTGTCTACTCAATTTTCAATATTATTTACCGTATTTTAACTTAAAAGTTTTTTTTGTTAAATGAAAAAAATGGAGTCGATTAAAGTAAAGAAATAAATAATGTAATACTTCGTCAGGTATTTCTTATTTCTTGTAAGCAGAAGCCGTTAGAGGCCATATCCTAACGGCTTCCGTAATAAAACATTGGACAATGAATAAGGCTTGCGTTTCTAAAGTTTCTGTATTCATGAGAAGCATAAATTCTCGATTTTATAACCCAAGCAAATGGAAGAAATACTGCTGTGCTAGGTAGGTTTACATACAGGTTACAAATCTTTTCGCAAAACAACCTTTCACAATTTTCTTTTTATTAGTAGAGTGGCTACTTAGTCTTGATTATAATGAGGTGGAAAACTTCATGAAGTAAGTAATAGAACTTTACACTTTGAAAAAATACTTGAAAAAGTCTTACTTAGCCATAACATCCCTGACATTCCTGGCGTACAGCTTGGGGTCCCGCTTCTCTTCCTCGCTGGGGTAGTACACCGGCAGGAACTCGATCTCACAGGAACTATGCACTTGCGTCAATGTAAGCCAGAGGAGCTTCAACCTAAAACAAAAAAAAACCATTATTGGACTACAATAGGGTATTTGACAAGTTTTAGAAAACGATCTCACGTTTTTAACTAATGTTTATGGAGTCCGTAAAAAGGAGGTGGATATTCATCATTCTGTTGTGTATTTCAATAAAAATAACCAAATCAAAAACTCCCAATTTGAAGCTGCCGCGAAAAAGTTTTTCTGGACAATTATGGCGTCTTACTAGTGTGTATCGTCACACAACTGTTATTAAAACGTCAAAAGATACAATGTAATGTCACTTTAACCGGAAGTTTACTTGTGTGTGACGTCATTTTAGGCTCCGCCATTCCCAAACGTTTTGGGTCACGTGACAATAGATAAGATAACTATTATCTTTTCCGTGTGTTTTTAGTAAAATATGAATATTTTTTTTGTAAAAATAGTAAAACCCCCCTGCCAATGTTTATTTTAAACACAGATGCTAACAATTGGCACTTTATTTTTAATACTGTCAAATACCCTATTATGTTATAAATATTTCGTACATAATGGTTTAACAAATGACTCTCTGATGTTCAGCTTATCATCAGCAATACGTCAACTTTCTTATGTTCTATTGCACAGAACACAGGAAGGGGTTAGAAGACCTTGTGGGCGGGGCAGGCGCGCCACGGTTATGTGTGAGCAAATACTCAATACTAGACCAAAACTTGGTTCGGATAACGTCATTGCTCTTGGATATGAGCGCTGATTGGTTCGAGCGTTTGATGTCACGTCATTTAATTCGCTATTATCTATTATGTGGAATTGTTGTGGGGGCGAGCCGACGACATCGGTTCCCGTACAAACGGTATGTAATCCTTGAAACCCACCCTTCTAACCTCTCTCAGGGGATGATCGCTTCAGATGAAGCTTGTAAGGCCCTTCCGGCCGTAAGCATGAACCATTAACCACTATATGGGTGTGTTTTAGACGGTAGGGTGTGTTTTAGTCCTTATAACATTGCAGCCAGCTGTAGGGTATCCATGAGGATTTCACAATCGCTCCCCCCGCTTGGGTGGAAAAAAGCCACTTCCTTTTTTTTTCTATATGGCTCCGCACGGTTTGTACATTTAGCCAATGTCAAGTGTAAAATGTTTACATATTCTATAGCACTCGTGGTCAAAATATTAGTCAAGTCAAAGTAAGTGGCAGTCAAGTCAATCCCCCTTTCCCTATGTTTCAGTAAATGTGTGGGGATTTACTGGAACCTCCCCGTAGACTTCTTGAGGGAACGTCGAAAGACACTTTCCGCTATTTTGTTTCACTTGCCAACACTTGTGCATGTTTCCGAACACTAAGTGGTTAATAATCCACTATTATTAGACACTAACATCCGCCACAACACAATTTGTTACAAGAAAAACAAAACTGCTAAGTGACGTTTCCCGATCCCGCCAAAAAGACCAGCTACTTCCTTCTAACCTCTTTCTGTGTTCTGTGTTCTATTCCGTAGAACCACGGGGTTTCCATGTGTTGACAGCTATTTACACAATTGGAATTTCCCATCAGGTGACACTTACCCCCTTATTAATAAACAAAGAATAGGCTTGGATTTGTTATTCCATGTTTTATCTCTGTCCATTCAATGACAAATGGCATTTGAGTGACATGAACAAAACACGGCGTAACTAGTCTTAACTTATTCCTTGTTTATTAATAAGGGGGTTAGTGTTTTGGTAGGACTTAAGTGAAAAAGGTGCGGATGATTACTAGTTGTAAGTGAACACCCAGATTGATTTCATCTTATTTGGACATTGTCAAGTGCCAATTTGAGCAAATCACGATATTTTTATATAATACTAGTGGCCCGCCCTCGCTTCGCTTCGGTGGAGACAAAAATGCCTCTTCATATAATTATAAAAAAAAAACTGAAAATGGTATATTTGTCTTTACTGTACTTCTATTGACATGACGCCACTCATTTGTTTTGCCTTCCTGGGACCTCTCCACTAACATTTGAAATTTATGGTATGGTATTAAAGTTCAAATTGACTTTTAAGTGTTTGTATGGGAGTATAGAAAATTGTTGCTTTTTGACTTTTTCAGGCATATTTTTTTTTAATTTTCTCTGCGTAAGAACCAGCCTCGTACTTTAAAGAATATTCTAAAAAAAATATTATCGTAATCGGTTCAGCTGTTCTCGATATTTGCGCTTAGCAACACATTCAGCGATTCATTTTTATATTATAGATTTTATGTAAAATGTAGTGTTTAGTTATTGTGTACGATTTTCTGAAAATTGTTAGTTAAAGAAAATATTGTTACAGTCTCAAGAAAGTGAACTTTTGTCGTAATTTTAATTAATAAAGCAACATAATGGTCAGTGCATTCGCCCGGATAGCGAAGAGTGCGGATTCAAGTCCCGTCTGCTGTCTGGTCCGCGTGGAATATTTCGAGTAATATTTTTCTAAGTGAACTTTTTATAAATTCCTCAACCATTTCGACTCGTGGTGGCTATTTCAATGTAATATGAAGACACTCACGCTCCAGGTCCCTCCCAAGTCCAGGTGACGGTGTCACGCGCATTAGGGTAGCGGATGGTGACCGGCTGTACAGGAACACCCGGGTAGAACCCACCCGGCTTAAACGTGATCAGGCATGACCGGTTCGTGCAGGTGCCCTCAGGGAATATCAGCACCTGCAACAGCAAATACAAAACCATTTACCATAATGACCGATGAGGAGCTAGACGGCGCAAGTGGTTAGCGCGTTCGGCTGCGATCGTTGAAGTTAAGCAACTTTCGCAGTGGTCGGTCATTGGATGGGTGACCAAAAATTTACTATCTTGAGTGCTTGAGTCCTCCGTGCTTCGGAAGGCACGTTAAGCCGTTGGTCCCAGCTGCATCTGCAGTCGTTAGCACCCGCCAAACCGCACTGGGCCTGCGTGGTGGGTCATGGCCCAATCTCCCTATTCCATCCATAGGGAAGGCCTGTGGCCCAACAGTGGGGACATTAATAGGCTGATGATGATGATGATGATGATGATAATGACCGAATATTATTGACACCTCAAACTCAAACTCATTTTCAGTCTAGGCTGTTACAAGCCCTTGTGAAAGTCAAACGCAACGCCATCGGTTCGTAAATCTACGTCGGGAGACCTTGTACTGAGAAGAACCGGCAAGATACTCAGCAAGGGCTATTTTTTTCTCCCTATTTTGTTTCATACAGTGTCGTCAATTTATATTCTGACGCACAAACAATATACAATTGTAAATGTTTATTGACACTTCACGGATGCTTGTAGCATATACCACGTGGTATATGCTCTAAGGTTGGTGTACGCTCGAACAATTGCATAGTTACATAAAAATTGTTAGCGTTTGTGCGTTTTTTGTTTGTTCGACGTAATTTTTGAAGTGTGCGTTTATGGCAACAACACGGTCGTGTTTGTGGGGGTATTGCATATTTTCATTAGTGCACTATACGCGTGTACCTCTTCCCGCGAAAAAATTGGTGAAAATTTATGTTCGGCGAGTGAACGGTATGGCATCTTCAGTGTTATATGCTCTAAGCACGGAGGTGATGTTCAATTGTTTTCCAGAATCTCTTATCTATTAGACAAGTCCGTCCGTCCGTCCGTCCGTCCTTGGTGCTGTTTCAGCGGCCAAACCGTAAGAGATAGGTATAGAGAATGTTTAAGTTATAAGTTAAGAATAGTCTGATAAGACTACAACTCACATCCGAGTAACGTAGCACTTCCGGTTTTCGAGAAATCACGTGATTTCTATTTCAAACGAAACCACACAAAATCTCCGAAGTTCTCAATTAATTAAATACTTTTTTTTTTTTGGTGAACATTTGTTTCACAGGTTTGCTAGTTGCTTATTATTATGAGATGCGAGAAATGTTACACAGCTTATGCGACTACGATAAGGCTCGCTCTTTTGTTGTTATTATACGACCTCCGTGGCCGAGTGGTATATACGCCGGGTTTAATGGCGTCGCCTTCTCAGAGGTCCCGGGTTCGAATCCCGGTTGGGGAAAATGTTAGTATGATGAATACGAGCATTTGTATCTAAATCATGGACGTTCATTTATATCTTAGATAAAATATATTTTTATGTTTCTGTATATTTATTCTATCCGTTACCCTAGCATCCTATAACACAAGCCTTACAGTGCTTACTTTGTTGCTAGGCTGATTGGTGTGAGTGTGGGAAATATTTATGTGTGGCAAGCCCTGGTAGTGGGGGCCAGCCGACGACATCCCTTTTAACCTCTTCCTGTGTTCTGTGGTCGCCCAGCACACTGCCCATCCAGCTACCCGCCCTACTGCCTAGCTAGTTGCCTAGCTGGCTGCCTCGCCAGGTTGAGACGGAAAAATTTTCGCCTAACCTCCATCCGAAATACCGTCCGAAAAGGAACTTCGTTCCAATGAAATGATCCTTATATTTATATATTTAATTCGTTATCCTAGCATCCGATAAACAAGCCAGCGCCTCTAGCATGACCACCGAAACGGGATATGATAAAGCTTTTTATCGAGTCTCAACTGTCAAACTCCACTGTAGTCTGACAGTGAATGCCGATATATCGCTTTATCATATCCCGTTTCGGTGGTCATGCTAGAGGGGCTGACAGTGCTTACTTTGTGTCTAGACTAATTGGGATGTGAGTTTGTTTTATTGAAATGAAATCTTATGGGAACCGCTTCGCTACGTAACGCGTTACGGCGCCAGTCTGTCTAGCTTCCCTTCTTTTTACGAATACTACAGCGGTAGGCAGCCTTCTCCTCTTTCACATTAACCCACAGCGCCGCTCAATCTAGCGAAGCAGCCAGCTAGGCAACTAGCTCGGCAGTTGGGCAGGTAGCTAGATGGGCATCGAGCTGGGTGACCACAGAACAGAGAAAGAGATTAAAAGGGATGTCGTCAGCTGGTCCCTACTACACTTCTGCCTAATAGATAATAGCCAATCAAACGATGCGACATCAAACATAGACCGTTTGTACCGTTTGACCTCTCTCTTTCTAACCCACAGCACTGCTTAGATTAGTATTTTATAATTTATCACTTCTGTCGTGCGTCCCGAGACGAACACGATGTCTGTACACCCGCTAAACAACATCAATATCTATCTATATATATAAAACTCAAAGGTGGCTGACTGACATAGTGATCTATCAACGCACAGCCCAAACCACTGGACGGATCGGGCTGAAATTTGGAATGCAGGTAGATGTTATGACGTAGGCATCCGCTAAGAAAGGATTTTCATCAATTCTACCCCCAAGGGGATAAAATAGGGAATGAAAGTTTGTATGAAACTTTGTCAATTTTAAACCGATCGGGCTGAGACTTTGCTTTGCTTTTTCATAGATGAATGTCATTGTGTGTAATACGAGTACAAGCTTGAGAACAAAAACTGCAGTCTACACTTCAGCTCTACACCGAAGCGAAGCGAGTGCGGGCCGCTAGTAATTAATAAATAAGATTCTAATAGCTAACAGTAACCATAGCACAAAATAAAAAGAGTATGTAAATACAAATGAGTACCTGCGATGTTTTTGCTCCTAATAACATTTCATTTTCTGACTTACTTTGCTTGCAATAAGAATCATCAGTCATCATTTAAGTGACCTCAGCATACTTTTTCGGCAGTTGCAAAGATAGAATTTAGATTAAAGAAATTAATTTTATTTTAAACAAGTCGTTGGCCCATGCTTCGCTTCAACGTAAATTACTGTTTTGTCGGGCTTATGTTGTAATTACTAATTCCATAGAAAGGGAGTGTAAGGATTCCTTCAGGTTTTTGTTATACTTATTTAATTAAACATATGATTAAATAACGATTAACATTAAATTAACGAATTATGAAAGAGTTAATGAGTACTCATACAGTGTTCATTCTCACACATTTATAATATTGTAATTTATATTCGTCTACGTGGAAATACGTTGCCACCGACTGACTGTGCCACTATTCCTACACGAACAAAGAAGTTTGGTGTCTCATTTACTTAGTAAATTGCTGTAGTACTATTCGTAAGTGGAATTCTTTGCCCGCGCACGTGTTCCCTCCTTCCTACAATCTGGGGTCCTTTAAGAGAGGCGTGAAGAAGCGTTTCTGCAGGCCGTCAAGGTGAGGATAGTTAATGGATAAAAAGGCAAGGGAGTGTAAGGATTCCTTCAGATTTTTGTTATACTTATTTAATTAAACATTTCATTAAATAACGACTGCTGATGCAGCCGCTTAACATTAAATTAATGAATTACGAAAGAGTGAATAAGTACTCATACAGTTTCCATTCTCTCATATTTTTAATATTGTCATTTATATTCGTCTACGTGGAAATACGTTGCCACCGCTATTCCTACACGAACAAAAAAGTTTGGTGTCTCATTTACTTAGTAAATTGCTGTCGTACTATTCGTAAGTGGAATTCTTTGCCCGCGCACGTGTTCCCTCCTTCCTACAACCTGGGGTCCTTTAAGAGAGGCGTGAAAAAGCGTTTCTGCAGTCCGGCAAGGTGAGGATAGTAAATGTGACAGTTTATACCTACCTGCTGTATCAGCTATCTTCGCGTTTAAACTTTATCTACACTTAACATCAGGTGGAGTAGAGTTATTTGCTTACCTGGCTATAAAAAAAGCCAGTACAAACTTTGGGCGCTTTCCCCCTTTACGGTTGAGTTTTGGAAAATCTTTCTTAGCACATACTTAAATCATAACCGCTATATGTGTGCCAAATTTCAACGCAATCCTTCAGTGATTTGAGCCTTACGTTAACAGATCAGTCAGTCAGTAAAGCTGATATTAGACGGTTCATTTTTATCATTTTAGATGCGTCATCGAAAAACTGAAAATGTTTAATGTCGTAATTGATGTCCATAGGTATGTACCATCGCGATAAAAGTTTCCAGCTCCCATAAGTTCTCAATAGCATCGATCATGCATCTGTCATCGTTCATCGGCAATGAACGACAAGTGAAAAGTCTTAACTTTTCTTACGCTGTCTCAGTATTTATTCTTTAATTAAATAACTCGACACAGCTGATGTTCACGCGGGAATTCCACATGGAATAGAATATTAGCTTTCATAAAGTGATTCGTCTATACAAACAACGCATTTTACTGTTCATCATTCACTAATCATTGCAAAATTAATTACTTTTGAAGAACCGTCTAATTCCGCCTTAGGGGTTGACATTTTTTTTATATATAGAAGAGTAGGATATACTTACATTGTTAGATTTTAAAAGAAGATAAAAACAGAGTACCGATACTTTTTCCAAAAAAAAAATACGAAGGTAACAGCTGAATGAAAGAGAAAAAAATTCACTCCATTCAGTTTTTTTTTTTAAAATGGTTACAAAGTCTTATATTATAAAATACAAAGTATAATTAGCAAATAATTTAACCTTTCCTGAGACTGGTGTCTGCACTAGGTTGTGAAACCTGTCTTACAGATTACCAGGTTCCCACTTCGCCGGACATTACTTTCATACTACACTTTAGTATTCAATAAACTCATTTTCACGAGAGAATAAACGATATGATATATAATATACTTAAATTAATGACTAATTTAACGCTAATAATAACCATGTTTGATCAAATATAGTTGAATATTGTCTAGTAATTATTTTTTTTCACATTAAAAATACCTGTGGCCAATCTTCCTTCGAGGTGGCTCTCTCGATAATCTCCTTGATGGTGTTTTGTCTCGAATTGGGGTCATCCCGCCATACGTACACGGGCTGTGTGTAATTGATGAGCTCTGAGAACACAAGACAATATAATTATTGGTAATCATTTGTACACGAGAGGAGTATAACGATTAGCAATTGCTTGGTTCTGATTGCGTCTTTGCTAAAGGGTGTGAGCGCTGATTAGCTTGATTGTTTACTTCGATTGGCTATTATAGCTATTAGGTGAATGTGTAGTGAGGGGGGGGGGGGGGCGACATCGGTTCGAAAGAAAGAAGAAGTTCGCTGGGATAACTAGTGTAATATAGGTTTTTTTATAATATAAATTAGCCATAAAAATAGGAGTTAGTGGTAGAAGGGTGAAAATTTAGGGTTGTATGGATTTTTGTATGATGTATAATAAAAACATCCAAGCACAGAATATATACACTACACGGTACTAGTGCAATTATTAACATTCAAGTAAGGTGTGTCGGGTGAAACCACAGACAGTGAAACTTAACAAATTCTATTGTACAATCAGTGTAACATTAAGTTACGACAAAGTTTTAAACTTTTCTTCACATATAAAAATACATATGTATGTTTATATGTGAAGACGATTGGGAAACTTATTGGAGAAGTTTTGGAGAAATTGGCTTTTGCTGTTGGCTGCAGAACGTATACAAGTTAATATAAAACAATGACAGGCACACACAACCATGCATTACTTATTAAGCTAGTTATATTAAGCTATACTGACATGCAGGTCTAATAAATAATCATAATACCTAACTCTTTTAATCTTACTATTTTATAATTTTATGATATTAAACGAAAATGTCATTGGATGGTTGTCCAAAAATTACTATCTCGAGCTCCTCCGTGCTTCGGAAGGCACGTTAAGCCGTTGGTCCCGGCTGCATCTGCAGCCGTTAGCACCTACCAATCCGCACTGGGCCCGCGTGGTGGGTCATGGCCCAATCTCCCTATTCCATCCATAGAGAAGGCCTGTGCCCCAGCAGTGGGTACATTAATAGGCTGATGATGAAATGAAAATTCTTTACTTTATACAACATGGCTATGAACGTAATAATTATTTTTATTAGATATCTTAAATAAAAAATCGTAATCGACTAAGCATTCGCGCTCGCAAATACATCAGGCTTTCAATGTGTCTGGCAAGATGTAAAAACCATGATAACTGTCCGTCTATTGAGATTACATCTTTATAGCTGTGGTATCATGAAAGCGGTTACCACACAGCATAGCTGAGGCAGCGCCCTATTGGCCTTCCACGGCACGATGTTTTTATTTATTTTTATTTTTTATCTTTCATCCTTATACCTATGTTTCACTATTAAATAAAAAATTGTATTTCTAAGTGTTGCTGTGAAGGCTAATAAAATGTTTTTCTTTCTTTTCTTTCTTTCTTTATAGGTCCCCAAGTAACATATATAATATTTAGCTATTATACTATAACTAAAGTATAATCATAATTTATAAAAATTTAGGGGTGTCTGGCAGGAGGTAGCAACTATTATAAGTGTCCGGTAATGGATGATGAGATTTCTGTAGTTAGCCCGACGAAAATATAAAAAAAAATCAGCTTTATACTTTAACCAATTTTAAGTAATTAAAATTTATTTTATACACCTGTATTAAACCGCCTAGCTAACGACGAGTACTTGCACAGACACAACCAAGTGGCCAGGATTATCCATCAGCAACTTGCACTGAAATACAACCTTGTTGCTTCTGAGGTGCCATATTACAAGTATGTGCCCGACCCAGTTCTCGAAAGTGGTCATATCACGCTGTACTGGGACCGATCTATCATCACTGACAGGACTATTGTTGCTAATAAGCCTGATATAGTGATGATTGATCGGGAAAAGCGCCTCGCAATGATAGTTGATGTGGTCATCCCTCATGACGAGAACCTCATGAAAGCCGAGAAAGATAAACAAATAAAATATCTTGATTTGGCTCATGAGGTTGTCGCCATGTGGGATGTTGACTCGGCTATAGTTGTGACAGTCAATGGCCTGATAGCTAAGAGCTTCGACTGTCATCTGCGGAGGCTCGAGTTGGGTGACTGGATCAAGGGCCTGATACAGAAGGCAGTGCTCCTTGACACGGCTCGCATAGTGAGGAGGTTCCTCTCTCTGGGGCCCTAACCACCGGTAGCTAGGACCCTGTTCCCGATGCCGGTTGGCTTCTATTTTTTATATTTTTAAATGTTTTTATTTTTATATTAATATTTAAAAATGTAATCAATATGGTAAACACATTTAAACATGATGTATTTAACCCATTTATGTACTGTACTGTGGTGTTTCAATAAAGAATTTTGTAGTGTATTGTATTGTATTGTATACAATAAATAAAGAGAATAATAATAAACGTTTATTGACTTAAAGCAAGTTACAATATACAATATTTTAAATTAATAATACAAAAATTGGTGACAAGAGGCACATTGGAGCTTAATTATTGTTAAAGGTGACTTCTGTTGCCAGTGGTAGGATAACCTGTATTACAGGCAACAGGGTCCCCTCTATGTACGTAAATACTGTAGCCGATTTAGGTGTGCGCACATTGGTTATATGATAACTTATATAGATATATAAAATAGTTATAAAAACTACAGAAACCGACAATACTTAACTGCTGCCGTATTTGATTACACCATAAAGTAATTCTAATTATTTACTAAACACTCCGTCTCTTCGTAATCACTGCCGGATTTAGGGGAGGGCAACCGGGGCGAAAGCCCCGGGGCCTCCACAAACGGGGGGCCCCCACAATAGGGACTTCGGAAAAAAAAATCTCAAATTCCAACTAGTAAACACTAGTAAACATCTTTTCCTTTGATATTTTTTTTTTGCTCTTTTACCTTTACCTACAGCCTACAGTACTTTGTACATCGAACATACATGATTATTTGATTATATTAATCTCAGGCCCGAATTAAAGATGGGGCTGTGGCCCAGGGGCCTCCAGAACAGCTTAAGAAATAACAAAATTTCGATGGGTCAACAAGCATGAAAATCCTTAGTGGCCGGGGGCCTCCACAACAGGATAAAAGATAACAAAATTTCGATGGGTTAACAAGCATACAAATCCTAAGTGGCCCGAGGCCTCCACAATCCTCAATCCGGCCCTGTTCGTAATCCATACCTTTCAGCCATTTGCTAACTTTTATTTTGCAGTTAAACATTGTACTACCTGTTACCTGCCCAGGTAACCACAACCCAAACTCAATAGTCGCGCTGGTCGTTCTTACCTGTATAAGGGACGTGTACAGAAAAACTTTCAGCTTTTATAAATAATAATAAATAATAAATATTTCCAACACTCACACCAATTAGCCTTGCCCCAAAGTAAGCACTGTAAGGCTTGTGTTATGGGACGCTAGAGTAACGGACAGAATACATATACTGTACATATATAAGTATATTTATATAGAAATACGTATTAAACATCCATGACTGGAGTACAAATGCTCGTATTCATCACACAAACATCTGTCCCCACCGGGATTCGAACCCGGGACCTCTCGAGTCGGCGACACCATGAAACCCGGCGTATAAACCAATCGGCCATGGAGGTCGTCGAAATTTAACGAAGGTCTGTCCGTCGTGGGCTCTTGGGCTATTTAATGCAATAAGCAAAATCGTTTCAACGAAATTCGGGAGACGTTATATATACTGTTTCTTACTGTCATTATAACATGCAAATGAAGCTCATTAAAAAATGTATTTCGTAAGAATTTCAATTTTTCCTAAGAAATACAATTTTCAAATACGATTTAAAAGTTGCAAAATTTCTATTAAAGATTTATTCAGAATTGAAGTATCAGTACATATATTGTATGTATGTCCATTCGTGTATATAATAAGGAATGACATTGGAAACTTTTCAAAAAGACAAAACATACCTCCATCACTGTTCTGAATCATAATAAAAAAGTATTTAATTACTAAAATAACATCCTTTAACTAATATCAACAGAAGCGGTAATTTCCAAATTAATTTATTCAACCTTTATTTATTTAGAGGATTTTATGGAGAGAGATATATGAAATATTTAAAGAATTCTCACTGTTATTGCCACTGCGTCAGGTGATTTCACCTCAACCATTCGATTACATTGTTGTGGGGCTCAGCTGCTAATATATAAAGTACTCGTATTTTCGTACTGCAAAAGAGAGCTGTTCGCGCCATATATAATTTAAAGGCAAGAGAATATCTTAGAGAAAAATTTAAAGAAATTAATATTTTAACACTGGCTTCCCAATACATTTATGAAATATAATATATGTAAGAAAAAACTATGACGCATTTGCAAAAAAAAGTCAAACCCATAACTTTAACACGAGATTTAAAAACAAGCTTGCCGTTCCATGTTTCAGACTCCAAAAATCAAGAGGTTCATTTCTGGGATGTAGTATTGCATTGTTTAACAAAGTTCCCCAAGATCTGATTGAGCTTCCACTAACCAAATTTAAATCTCGGATCAAGAATTCTCTTATGCATAAGGGCTACTATAAAGTTAATGATTATCTTAATGATCGTAATGCATGGACATAGTGTTTCTTGTAATTTGTTATTTGATGGGTATGAGTCAGTTTTTGTAACAGTAATATGGTACCTATCTAATGCCGCTTCCTATATACTAAATATAAAATTATTATTGTAACTTTATACATCTACATCCTAAATAATGTAATGGAAGGTGACTTCAGAAGTAACTCTGAAGTAATTTTTCAACTTGACGACTCTGTATATATCAATACAGGGAGAAAAAAGCAGCCCTTGCTGAGTTTCTTGCCGGTTCTTCTCAGTACAAGGTCTCCCGCCGTAGTTTTGCGAACCGATGGCGTAGCTTCTTGACCTTCACAAGTGCTTGTAACAGCCTAGACTGAATAAATGACTTTTCATTTCATTTCAATCTCTTAAGTATCGTTTTTAGGGCTCATCATTGGATCCGTTCATTCGGTTGTCTGTCTGTCTGTCACAGTCGATTTGCTCCGAGTATAAGTATATACATATTGTTTTTTTATATAAAATGAATTGTTTTAAAATT